CAGCAGGAAAATAACTGTAACCTGCATCACGGTCTGTACTGGTGGTCTCAGTGTGTTTGCTCTTGTGATAATGCTCTGTAAGTATTGTTGTAACTATTTCATTGAATGTGAAACGATTTAGTAAATAAACCTGGGAAAAAAACTTATTTTTTACACTTTCATTGGATGGTGAATATAACTATGCTGTTGCTGTAGTCTTCTGATGCAGTAATGTCATGGGGGTACCTCACTCTGCAAGGTGATGGCTCGAGGTGAGGTGGAGCCGGGGGGTGCTCGCCTGACCCTTGTCACCACGTTACCAATGGGTCAAAGACCCCATATGCAAGGGGTCTGGAGCACACGAATGATGGGGAGCGGCTGAGGGAGCTGGGGGGGGTTCAACTGGAGAATAGGAGGGGAGGGGAGACCTTATCCCCTCTGCAGCTCCTGAAAGGAGGGAGTAGCAAGGGGGGGCAGTCTCTGCTTCCCAGGAGCAAGTGGTAGAATGAAAGGAAATGGCCTCAAGTTGTGCCAGGGGAGGGTTAGGTTGGATATTGGGGAAAATTTCTTCCCCAAAGGGTTCTCTGGGACTGGAAAGGGCTGAGCAGGGCAGTAGTGGTGTCCCTATCCCTGGAGGGGTTTAACAGATGGGAGATGTGGTGCTGAGGGACATGGTTTAGTGATGGAGTTACAAGTGCTGGGTTAACAGTTTGACCTAATGATCTTAAAGGTCTGTTCCAGCTCAAGTCATTCTCTGATGAGAAGCTTTCGTGGAAGAGCACTTCAGGATCTGGTTTGCTATTTCCCATCTGCTGTAACCATAGTCTCTGATGAATCAGTTCCCATGGAGGAAGCACAAACCTGCTTGTTCCTGCATTCCCTGGCAGCAGAGCACGCTCTAATGCTCCCATATGCGCTGTTCCCTCCTGGTGAAGACTCGGCATCACTGAGCACCAGCAGAAATGCAATCCATTCAGGGCCAAAGGGGTATGCAGCCAAATCATTTTGGGTTACTGTTAGCTGTTCAGCGCTGTGCTTTAGGTGGTGGTTTCACCTGGGATGATGGTTTACATGGAGTAACAACAGGCACCCCTCTCTCTCTGTTAGCGAAATGGAAGTTTAAGGTTTGGCAATTGTGCAGTGATTTTTTTTTAATTTTTTTTTTCTGTCTTCATTGCAATACAGGAGGAAATGGTGAATTTTTGTTTGTAGTTGAGCTGTCCTGGGCTTGTCCTTGCATCAGCCTTTGCTTTTCCCCAGTCCTTGCAGCTCCTGCTTCTCAGGGTCCATCTCCCCAGGCATTGCCTGGTTCTGAAGTGCCAAGATACTGTTTTTATTTGCATGGATTGTTCTGAGGAGGTGCTCTCACACCACAGTGGTGCTGATATTTTCTTATTTTACTATAAATTATCATTCCCTGGCTCATGCTTATGACCTGTACTAATAAAGCCAGCCCTTCGTTAGGTGCCCTGTGCTGGCTGTCGA